CTTTATATCTTGCTCCAAATAAAATGGTAACACTCTGACCCTGAGAGGAAAAACTGTGCTTAGGATTTTAGAAAAAGCAAAGAAGCCATGAGAAGAGCAAGAATATCAGGGTCTAACTCACCCGACACACCTGCTTTATGTTCCTTAAATTTTAAAACAGGCAACTCCCAATGCTTAATAAAGTGTTTACAGACTTCCCCTAAGACGAAAATAATGATGAGACACCAGACATGCATCTTGAAAAAAACAAAAAGAAAGAACAGAAAAGCCAAAGCTGACAACCCACCTAACCATCTCTTTTTGGCAGAGGGATGCCCAATTAATCTTCAATTTGGACTTGTCTCTGCCCAGAATGTGTACTCCTTTCCAGAGTTATTTTGGCTTTTAAAGAATATATGGAATGTTTCATTTTGTAGACTAGACCCTTCATCAAAGAAAATTATGTCCGTTAGAGAGAGAGAGAGAGAGAGAGAGAGATTTGAGGACCAGAAAAATATAGCTGTCTCAATTTCATAATTTCTATAAAGGATATATGTCTAGATTTTCTTTCCATTTAAAACTAGGATTTATTTCTTCAGAGTAAGCAGAAGGTCAAGGCACTCCTTGACAGAATGTAAAGGCCTCCTCCATGAGACTTTCTCCATCTACCCAAAACTTCATTGTTATATCCTGCCTTTGAACTCTGCAAGTACTGATAGTCTGAACCACACACAATCATATCTTCAATTAGGTGGTGTTATGCATACTGCTATGTTTTTGCCCACGCTTGTCTTTGTTAATGCCACCATGCCCCTCCTTTGTCCAACTGCCTAACTCTAGTCATCCTTAAAGCTTCAACTCAAGCATCACCACCTCTGCAGAACCCATTCTGACTACCTTGCAAATAAATGGCTCCACTACACCCTCATCACGTTGTGTGGAATTCATATTACATGAGTCTCATTTTCCTACCCATGGTGGAAATGGCACAGTGAGGGAAGGCACACACATATACCTCAAAGAAATACTGCCTCTACCCTCTGCTCAAAACTCCTTGAAATAGCCCCTGTAGGGAAAAGAGTGTCTGCTGAAGTGCTCCTGTGAGTGGTTTATTATCATCTACCATCTATATTCATCCAGAGATGCAAAAATTGTGGTTGCCATGGAGACTGTTGTCTTTGCTGTATGTTAGAAAAGGGTGTCATGTGTAAGGTTTCCTTACTCATTTTCCTAGTGGGGAAAATTATTCATGTTCACCTCCATCAAATTGTGTCCCTTAGTTTCCATCATCCTTCCAAGCACAGGGGCTTCAGCAAAGAATCTTAACCTGGTAAAATAGGGTCAGAATGTACTGTGATCATTTCTAGTCCTCCACTTGAAAAGCTCTCTAATACAGTTGGAAAATCTTCCAAACTTTAATGATAGCTATGTTTAAGGGTTCCTACCAGTAATCTCAAACTATCTCATTGCATCCCCTCCACAACCTGGCCCCAAGCTATTCCTTACATTCTCCTGCCACTTCCCCAAGTAACCTTTTTCCTCACTCACAACCTCTAAAAGTTTCCCTTTACTCCAACTATGAAAATCCTAGTTATCTTTCAAATTCCACCTCCTCTGTCTATTCACTAAAAACTCATTGCTGTCAATTTGTTTCTGACTCATAGCGACCCCTCCTTGGGTTTCTGAGGCAGTATCACTATGGAAGTAGATTGCCCAACCTTCCTTCCGAGGAGTGGCTGATGGGTTTGAA